TATGGATCAGACATGCTAATAAGCTTATTGATAGACAGCCAGGTAATAGGTTTAAATACATCTCTCAGCTTCTTCCACACTGGCTTCAAGGATCGTGGCTATCCCCGAGTCCCCCCTCAGGTCCCCATTACAATTGCAAGTTAATTAAAATACGAGCCTGGAGGTGAGTTCAAGTACTTCGAAACGTGACAGCACTGTTTTACCTGTGGGTCTGGGCTGGAAGAGCTGCTCCTGATGGGGACGTGCAGCTTGCGGTGGGGGGAATCAGCTCTTTCCATCGGGGGGAAAAATCTGGAAGCAACAGGGTTTGGAAAACCTTAGACCTCTCCCAGTTGGAGGATTTGCATAATTTTTTGCAACATTTGGGCAGCCCCTGCTTGTGAAGACCGGTCTTTCCCTTACCACTGCAGAGGGATGGAGTTGTTATTCACTGCTGAGTCATTTAAAGTCAATGATCTTCACAATGCTATTGAAAAGAAGGATAAAAGCTATGTAGAAAAGGTGTTTTGGACAGTAAATTCTAAGTGATATTTTTGAAGATGTACTCTGTAAGAAAATTGCTTGCTATGCTCATTTTAGCTTATGAACACCAGCACAGGTGGAGTAATTCATAATCAGCAGCGTGCATGCACTGATTGTTGCCTCTTTTACCATTCATACATTCTGAATACTTAAGAAACAGTTTGGGTTTTTTTTTTATCCTCTAGATGAAGGGATTCTGTGTTATGTTTATGTTCTCTGATTGAAGAGTGGGTGTATATATATGTTTTACATAAAGATTTTGGTATGGAAACTTGAATTCAAATTTGGTAGTTCATAAAATATTCTGAACAGTTTGGTTTGAAGTATGCTGTACTAATGAAGTATGCTGTACTTCCTAGAAAGAGGGTAAAGCAGAACACAAAAATTTGGTGAAATGACAATACCAATATTTGGAAAAAAATAGAATTGTTTTGTTTGCTTTGGATAAGTAATAGGTCATTCAGTAGAAACTTCTATAGTGGCTTTGTGCATTTAGAAAGACAACTTTGATGACATACCTGGTGTTAGAAAGCTTTTGACACCATCTCTAGATTCTCAAATCTATTCAGCGCTAGCAAAAATTCAATTTGCTATGAAAAGTTTGGTCAAATTGAGTATTTGCAAAAGATCTTAATTCGCTAAATATTCCTGCCATCTCTGGTGCTGTGATGTTTACTTGGTTCCTCTTTTAGTATTGTACATATTGTTTGGAAAATGGAAAGTGTTATTTTTCCTAACTTGAATATGGTTGGATTGTTGTGTGCTTTGCATCCGCTGGTTTGAGACCTGGGTTGAGGACTGTTTCTTAGAGTCTCTGGGCTGAAAACGTGTTAATTCAAATCTGGGAGAGAAAAATGCAAGAAGAGATGGTCCTGGGTATGGATTCAAGTTACATCTCTGAAAATGTTAGTGTATATGTGGTTGTTAATTCGTAAACTGTGTGCATCTTCTCTAAAGATTTAATAAGTTGAGGTTGCTGCATTTTAACCATAGCAGAATTAAATCTGTTTCTCCATCACAGATATGTGTAAGCTATGACTGAAGTGTAATCTGATAATACTTCGCTTTGAATAAAACTGTGAGAGTGGAAAGGCTGTTAGGGAAATTTCTAATTAGTTTTATAATAAACTTCAGGACAGGAAAATCTCTTTGAAATTCTATCTTGATGGACCTTCGTAAACAATAGAAGAACACAGAATCTTGTAACGAAAATTGGTTTTGCAGGTGAAGGAATATGTAACTCATGCTTTCAAGCAGAATAACACAAGTTTTCAGGCTGAATTTGGACTGAGTCCCTGTGGTGGAACACTGCAAAAGAGCTGGGCTAATGAATTTACAGTGAGTTTACACTGGAGCATAACATCCTCTACAGCTGCGTTCCTATTATTTGGGCTTAGAATATGAAACCCTTCACTGTTGGTATTCCACACATTTTAGGGAGATACAATTTTGATATTTGGCTTTGATACAAGGAGAGGCAGCAAATTTACTGTCGTAATAATGACTCTGCTAATAATGGGTTGCTAAATTCTTGTTGTTTTTTTTTCCCCTAAATAATTTGTTTCTGATTTCTACAGGAGAAAATTGTCACTAAGATATTTTTAGCCAATCCCAAAGTATTTCAGCAGAAAATAAAAACATTTTGGTATGCCGCCTTACTATTTCAGAGGCGTTTAGTTTGGGTGCCTCATTGTGCTCTGCCTCTTGGTGCGACTCCAGCTTTTATGCCACGTAGCAGGTTATGGCACGAGATGCCCGGAGCCCCCCTCTCCCGGAGCCCCCCTCTCCCGGAGCCCCTCTCCCTGCCCGCGCCGGGCTGCAGTGAGTCCATCTGAATGTGCACCGTATGGCTCCCTGCCCGGGCAGGGAGATGATGTATGTGCTGATGCTGTATTACGGAGAGGTGGTCCTGGTTTTCTGGATAGTGTCTGTAAGGTCCTTGGAGCTAGTACAGACCCTTAAATACAGCTTTGGAGGCAGAAAAAACCCCAAAGAATTCCTCTTTGCTTCCGAAAGATGATCAGACTGAAGGATGGAGCAAGGACAAACTTCCTTCTCCTTCTCATGACTCCTTTTCCTCCTCAGAGACATTCATCCCTTTTTTGAAGAATTCCTTCCTTTCCATTTATGTTGTATTTCTCGGGGCGAAGGACATCGGCCCAGCTCCTTTCTGTGGTGCTTACCTGTTTTTCCAGGGTTTCAGCAGTCGCGCTGACTCTTTGCCTGCTCCCTGCTGCTATTTAGATAAATTCGTGCCCTCTGCCTCTTCCAGCAAAAAGGAGGCAGAACTTATTTCCATAAACAACATTTGCAGCTTGAGGGACTGGCTCTTCCAATTGCAGTCTCTGAGGAGTATCATCGCTTCTCCAGAAAGTGATGATATACCAGAGTTTAATTACCAGCCATTAATCCCAAATATTTTATGTTCGTATTGCGCATTACATAAATATACCTTATGAAATGTTCCGAGAGGAATTTAATAGCATATATAGTTGTGTGTGTACGTGCGCCGTGCAGGTTTCCAAGCAATTCTGTGGGTGAAGCGTAGCTGCGGAGAGGTGCAGCTAAAAGCACGGCACGGCTGCGTTCTTCTCATGCCTTATTTCTTTCCGGTGGTACTTCTAACTGGTTTTGACCGCGAGATGTATGCTCTAAGATAAAATTCTGCCTATTGGGGAACATATATGGCAGTGTAGTCATGAATTCCTTTCCCAAAGCCAGGTGAGAGGAATCAGCAGCTCTGCTTAGACATGATGAAAGGTGTCTAATAGCATCTCAAGCACGGCTTTAGTGCTGGTGCCGGTACCGCAGCCTGTTTCGCTCCCGGGAGGATGCTGCTGACCCCAATACACGTTAACCACGGAGCCTGTCATCCTTCGGAAGTCATGTTGGACGCAGAGGGCTTCAGAGTCACCGCATTTAAGATTTAAGCATCTCTCTGATAGCAATTTCATCGTCGCATGTAATCACAGAGAAAGCTAATAATTTCTTCCTGTTGCAGCATATATAAAGGTGCTACTTCTGATCAAAGGGAAGGATTAAAAAAAAAAATCAGATAATACTATAAAATGTTCTTTGCTCAAGTGAAGCGTAAACTAGAAACTGCAGAAACAAAATTTCTGTGCCCAGAGTCTGTAATATTTATTTTTAAAAAGCCTTTTATGTACATTTCTGCTAGGTTGTTCTAGCAAGCCCTGATGTCTGATTTCAAGTCACTTAGTCTACTTCCTGTGCATTTTGTAGAAAAGGGTTTATTCTTCTAGCATTTTAATTTTTTGGTTGCAAAAATAAATGATTTAATTACTCTTCAGCTAGTAGAGAAGCCTTCCTGAGTGACAGTCTTTCAAGAATATTAAGCATCAAATGTTTCAAAGTAATTTTGATACTAAAGATGCAAAATGAATGTGATAGCAGAAAAATAAAACCAAGATCCCTTCGTTAAGATAAAATGGTAATGTTGGAATATGGCATAGAAGTCGACAGCTCGAAAGGCACCGTGAGCGTCGATTACTGCCCAGTGCGGTCTGGGCGGTCCCAGTTAATCAATATTAATTAATCGGCCTCAGTCAAGAGGCTGATTTAAAGTATGGATGTAAAATTAGTTAAAAATTCAGGTATTTCTCGTTCTGTTGATTGATACAATGTCTAAGAAGTAGCTGGGAGGGGAATTGGCCTCTTCTGCTTAGCTGCTCACTGAGATTGGAGAAGGAGACTGATGATGATTCTGTCATCTTCTGGTGGGCTTTTGCCTTAGAATAATGATTATAATTATTTGTATACGTGGGATGTTTCCTTTCTTTTCATATACTGTTTCCTAAGAAGGCAGTCTGTGTCCTGTTTATTTTTGTGTGCTTGTATGAGATGGTACTATAATTTTCCTTAAAATTCAAAATTGACGGTACAAATATTTCTCAAAACTTGTCTCCAATAATACCTAAAAGATACTCTGTCAGGGTTGGGATACTATATTTTTCAGAATGGATTTTTTTTTTTGTCACTGAAGGTTGATTGATTTATTTACTTACAGGGGTGGGATTATGCTATCATATGGCTGGTAGTTAAAACTAAATAAAAAATAAAAGAAGTTGGTTAAAATTAGTTTAACATACATGTTCTTCAAATATTTTCAATAGCTATAAAAGTGTTTTCCAAACCTTTTCTGACTGCAGAATCTCATGGAGAATCTGGCGCTATGCTTTGTAATCCTGGTATAAATCTCTTGAGAACAGTCATTTACTGTCATTGTGATTACACCCCAAAGCTGCAAGTGAACAAATCTGGGGTTTTTAATCATCTTAGAAAGGATCTAGATATAAATTCAGATCCAGATAGAGATAAAACCTCACAGTGGAGCATGGAGAAAATTGTGATGTGTTATTACTTTTTTTTAACATTCCTTGCTGAATGCCAAGAGTTGGCGAGGAATAAAACCGCCGCCCGCGTACTAAAAGTTGGCCTTTCGCTCTCTTGTGTTACAGCTGTTATTTCTCGAAACCAAGAAGGTCCTGGAGAGATGGGAAAGGCTGTGCTCATCCCGAAGGATGACCAGGAGAAGATGAAAGAGCTGTTCAAAATCAACCAGTTTAACCTGATGGCCAGTGACTTGATTGCCCTGAACCGAAGTCTGCCCGATGTGAGGTTAGACGGGTGAGTCCCGGCGGCGCCGCGCGGCTCGGTGCCATCAGCAGCGCACGGGCTGCGCCCGCCTCCGCCCCGCTTCAAGGCGCGAGGTACAGCGCGTCCCGAGGGTAATTAGCGGGCGTTATTAGCAGCGGTTGCCTAAGGAAGCCATTTGAAAACGCCAGGGTTTACCGCTTCTAGATTTGGCTTCTAATGCAGGCTTTCTTAGGAGAAGAGGTACTGCATACAGACATTATTATCCTGTGCAATTTGTTTTGTGAACAGCTGAAAACTGTCAACTTGGAGCTATCAGTTTACATTGCAGCACGTAACAAAATGCCCTCAGGTATGTCTTATCACCTGGAATAATTTAAATATTTATTCTTCAGCGAAAGCTTTATTTCTGACGTTTTAAAATGATAAAAACATCAATGTCTACTTTATAAATTTTCATAATTATGCTGTCGGCATTTAAAAATTGACATTTTAATGCTGATAAAGAGAAGATGCTACCAATACCAAAATTACATGCAGGATGTAGTTTTCTTTTAGTTTTATCCATAGACATTTCTGGAATAATCAGACTTTTACAGAGCATCTTTCAAAATGTTTTGCAACAATATCAAAACTGAAGGGAGTTTTGTGGTCGGGGTTTTTTGGAGGTTTGTTTTGTTTTTAAGACTAGTGACTTATAATCATTATTTTTGAGTGAAGCCTGAAGTTTGTGTGGTGACTTTGAGACTGTGGAATAGCTTGGGGGAGAGTTTCACCAACTCCACTGAGTTATTTTTAATGGAATTTACAGATTAATTTTTCCAGTCACAACAGTGGGCTTCTGTTTGCACATGCATTTGATGTGAAAGTACAAATGTGCATGTTTATCTCCATTTAAATAGGAATTCCAATTGCTATCTAAAGATCCTGTAACAAGTTATGGTACTTAAAAAAAACCAAACGTCTGGGTCTGTTGTATACGTTATTTTCAGCACTCAGAGGATTTCCTCCTGTCTCCCAGTAGCAGTGTTAAAGCTAGCTGATGGAGTAGGCTATCAAGCCCATTTTATTTAACTTGAAACTTTTGCATAAAGGGAGATTGCCCTAAGAATCTTTAACTGAAATTGCATGCACGGGGGATTATCCAAACTTACATGCTTTTGGAAGTAAATTTTTAGAGGCGGGAATTCTTTTTTTCCCCACTTAATTTTTGTAGAAACCTAGTGTTGATTGAATTTTGTCTTTTTCCAATTCAGTTTTTTTAACCCGTTCTCCTTCAGCTTCATAAGTGATCCGATTCTTATAACAAATAAAAATTTAGATAAATATAAGCATAGCTAAACATAGACAAGTGGTCAGATCTTCTAAAATCTCCTATTACTTCTGCTTTTTAAACTGAATTGTCACTTAGCTGGAATTCTGCTTATTATGCTTTGTTTGAAATTAAATTCTTCAGGTTCCCATGAAATTTAAAATCCAATAAATACTTTGCTCCCTGGATTTTGTTTGTAAATGCCTGCAAATAATAGAAGTAGAAGCGCTACTTTAACAATAGAGCTTGTTCACAAACAGCGTTAGGTGATGCTTCTCCACGGCATGATCATTTGTAATTTGGTGATGCCAAGTTTCCGTAAAACACCGCCTCAGATCAAAAGACGTATTTCACGAAACGGGAGCATTGGAAAAGCTTTGTTGCTTATTGCTTGCGCTTTTCGAGGGTAGCCACGACGAGCTGGTGGAGCTGGCTTCGGCGTTGAAATGATTCCGGCAGGCACGGGGCATCTTGCAGACTGTCTGGGAAGCGAGGAGGATGCGGTGCACTGCTGGGCTGGGTTCTCCCTTGCTGCTACCTGATTGCTTTCTTCCAGCGGGATGCTCCTGGCAGGTGACCCAGCTTAGATTTAAACTACCCAAGTAGCAGTCGATTCAGTGCTGCGTGCTCCCCTCTCATGTAGCCTTTGCAGCCCACAAAGAAACAAGACCCGAGTGCTGGGCACACCAAAAGAAGGGGGGCACTTGCCAAGCCTCTCGGTCTGTCCTGGAAAGCTTTGTCTTTTCCCTGGGAGCAAGCGTTGAAAAGAAAGCGCGTATTGGAAAAACAGGTAAAATGTTTAACTTGATGAATAGTTCTGCTCAGTCTAAGGGAGATGAGCTGTTTAATACTGAGAGAAATCTGTCTAAATGCATTTTCCTGATGGAAAGAAGTTTTGTGTTCTTTGTTGAAAGGATGGAAAGTATTATGGGATTTAGAAAAAAAAAGAAATTTATTTTCTCATTTTCCTCTTCAGACAGATGCTTTCTGTACGTGTTCTCTCTTCAGGGAGTGTTAAATTGTCCTGAAAGCCAATTTATAATGCTTTGCTGTTAAAGAAGAATGTGATTTTATGGTTAATATATTTAGCGTATGACAGAAAGGCATATTGTTATTGACATGGGGGACAGAGGCATGCAGTTTGCGCTGGGTGTCCAACTCACTGGGCCTTTCACATTATAAATGCAAGCTTTTCTTTCAGAGGCCAGGAAGTTTTCTGTGGCAAAATTAGGTGAATAGAAGAAAAGAAAATAAAAAATGTTCTTCCTGGACATGCTGTCTAGTGGGAAATTCATAATAACCTGTGTAGCTGTGGATACTGCTGTGTTACGAGCAATCATGAGCTGATGAAAAGACCAGCGTTATCAAGGTGTGGATGTACTAAATCAGTCTGTTGGCTGTGAAGCAGCCGCCCTACACGCAGCAGAAAACTCGAGGCCAGAGAGACAAAACTTTGCTGGAAGATCGTCGGGGTAAGATTGACTAATTGCAGGGCAATAGCAGAAGGGGAGCAGGACGAGGGCAGGCTGTGTCTGCAGCGGGGAAGCGGCTGGGGCAGCGCTCGGGGACGGGATCAGCCCCGTGGAGCTCTGCATCGCCACGGAGTTATTTGCAGATTGTGCGCTGGGACACGGCCAAGCTGTTCTCCATCTCTGTAATGATGCCGGGGGATTAAAAGAGTGAAGGGCATTTATACGGGACTAATTAACTCTTGGCAAGACTTGACCTTTTTATTGTATCTATCACATGTCAACACTTCGCTGCGTGTAAGTGGCGTTTTCGCGTTTCTCTGAACGTATGCCACGCCATTAAGTCGCAGTCTCCGTTCTGGCTGCCTGCGCAAGCCGTTAGAAGGGTTCATGTGCCGTCGGGGTCGTGCGGGGGTCTGCGGGGGCGGAGGGGAGTCACAGCTACTGGCAGCAGTCCTGAGCACTGCTCCGCTTCTCTGTCTTGTACGAGATGTCCCTGACAGATGCAGCGACTTTCAGTCTTGGGCTGGTTTAAGACTGAGATGTAGGAAAAGCCGCTGAATGCCTTTTTCTCTGTGATGTCCTCTTCCCGCTCCCGGTGGTGTCAGGTATAGGCTTAAAGCAGAAGACGATGTGTCCGACTTCCCACCCAGTCTTCAATGAAAATAAAACCTCAGCTTACCCATTTGTCCTGTGTTTAGAAGGTTTTATGATTTCCAACTGTGGTTTAACCCTCAATGCAAAGTGTCATCTCCTGGTGAGATTTGCCACTGCCTTTATCTCTCTACGAGAATTATTTAGATTTGTGCATTCTAATATTATGTCCATGTAGCAAATGAATCTCTATAAATAGAAGTAAGAATTCTGATAAGAAACAAACAGCCCAAGAAAAAGAAGAGTCTGGTTGTAATTTCTCATTCTAGAAATTATTCTTCAGTTATGCTACAGCACATTTATTGGCAAAGTCATTGGGAAGAGGGCAGTGAAAGGGAAGCAGTACACTGACATGCTAGCTTTTTCATTGTTGTGGGGGGTGTATATGTATTTTATATATGTATTTCACGTGTATTTTATATATATAAAATTAACCCATTCCCATTCTGTTCCTGTATGGCCTTCTTCATTCCTTTTCCCTCTTCGGTCCTCGCTGTACTTTTTATGGGCAATTTTATCCCGTCCTCTTGCCGTGGGTGTCCAGGTTTCTCGTGCTTTGCCAAGGCTGCCGCTGTCTACACAGCCCTTTGGGAGACTCCTTCTGGGAGTCGATCTGCAGCGTACAGGCGTGGAGTAAGGATCAAAGATGCTCGTCAGCCCTTTCCGCTCTCCTCCGCAGCTTGGCACTCGTACCCCGCAGCGGCAGATAGTACCGGGGCTCTCGCTGTTTGGGATCGTTGCTGCTGTGGTGCCTCCAGATGATCAAAGCAGTGCTGTGGGAAATGGAGGGGGGAGGGTGTGTAGGTGTCATAAGAGTCTAAATAAGAAACACATATTTAAGAGGGAAAAAAAAAATCTGAGGGAATCTTAATTTTTTTCACATTAGCAGATGAAAGAGCTCCTGAAACCTTTTATGACTCGCTGTTTCTGATTAAATGTTTGATGACTGTGAGCTAATTCTGGATTTACATTGCAACCACAGTACTTGTGCTTGTAAGATGAGGGAGACTTTTTCCCTAAGGAAAAATGTTAGATTTCTTAAAAAAAGCTTCATTTTATGAGTTGCAGGAAGACAGGGAAGGCTGGGTTGGTTGCTGGCTAATGAGAAATTCCCTTTACAGTTTTGTGAAATAAGGCTTCTATCTCTTGTCTCGTCCTTCTCCCAAACAGGGATGTTTGTGCGTAGACCTGATGTGATGTCCTGACTTCCATGAGGTCAACGGGAGTTTGCTCTGACTTCTGTAGGAATGAGTTCTCTCACCAGGAGACCACAAAATCCACCTCCCGTGTGCTGTCACGAAACAGTACGGCTGAATCCCATTGCATCGCTGCTCCTGGCTTGATATTGTAATTCCAGCTAATGAATGAGACTGTCACACTAAGTTTAACTTGCTTCCCGTGACGTCTAGTGTTGTCTACCAAAGAATGTCCCTCGATTGCCTGAGTTCTGTTGGTAATGGCCAACTTGAAGATTTTAATCAGTGTCAGGTCTAATTTGAAGTAGCTATTGATTAAACCTTAAACCCAATTTAGTTCAACATAGAAATGTTTAATTTTATTTCTAAGTATTTTCTCTGGCAAGGGAAGAAATCCATCTT